TATATATATATATATATATATATATATATATATATATATATAGAGAGAGAGAGAGAGAGAGAGAGAGAGAGAGAGAGAGAGAGTAACCTTCAAAAGGTTTTAGCTGTCGTTCGTTGTTTACTCAAAAGTTATTAACGAAAAAATTTCATTAATGCCACATAGTTTTGCGACGCTGTATAAATTAATGTGCACATATATATACGCACAAGTATATGCGCGGAGGAGGGACTCTGTCTCTCCCCCCATACCTCCTTTCCAAAAAATAATCCTAACCTAATCTATTTATTGAAATATTGTAAACAAAATATTGTTTACATTTTTACACATAACTTGTCAATAAAAAACAATATAACAATACAAATGCGGGGAGAGCAATACTGCTTGCGATATTTTTTGCACATAGTATATATGTGTATGCTCCGTAGCCACTTGCGCAACTCCTATAGTTTCCGAAATATTAATAAAAAAGGTGCCTGTCCCTAGTCGTGTAACTGGGAGAGCTACGCCCCCCAGACCCCCCGCACCGCGATGGGGGGTGGGGGCGCAGTCTTTTGTAAGAAGTTCTCACCTTTAAAAATTACATCTTTTTTTATAAAATTTCTAAGATACATTTCAATTTGTATAGCGTGAAGAAACTGCACCATATTTACGAAACTTCTTTTGTTTATAATTTTGAGCTTAAGGGGGCATAGCCCCCAATTACACGACTAGGGACAGGCGCCTTTTTTATTAATATTTCGGAAACTATTGGAGATGCATAAGTATTTCGTTATTTTCATATATACTGAGTGCAAAAATTACGTTCCTTTTATAAAAATTTTTTTATTGATGAGTTAGGTTAGAGTTAGTTTTTTGGGGAGGGGCTTTGCCCCCCTCCGCGCATATACATATATTGTTTATCATATTTTAATGTATGCTGCTTATCAAAATTGTTTTATTTATAAAAATTCTTTTGTTAATAACTTTTTAACAAACAATAAGCAATGCTTAAAACTTTTTGAATGTTACTTAGGGACATATCCTTCATAACAAGGTCAAGGTCATAAGAGCTGGGTCCCCTGTTCGGTATATTTACCATTTATTGTTTAGAATAAATGCCTTACACACAAGTAACGTTTATTCGCAGAGAGTGATATTTATTTCGAGATTTTCTTAACTTACAGTGCTAATAAGAAGCGAAAGTTTAGAAACACTGAATATCAGCGGTTGTGGATTGAGTTCAACTGCCGGCGCAGCGCTTACCGAGGTGCTCTGTTCCAATTATGTGAAACTTGAGGCCTTACATCTCGATGTGTCCAACAACGATTTTGGATCGAACGGTACAGTAACAGAAACTTGATACTTTGTCGAGGATACGATAGAAAAGTACACTTCCTTATAAGAAGGAAGTCCTTCCTTCCTCATTAATTTTTATTATTAATTAACTGTCGCGCCGTTTACACTTAGTGCACTCTTGCCCCGCTTGACCTTAAATATATAACGACCCTAATAACGAATTGACATGTTCTTCATAAAGCTTTCTACTCCGTTATAAAAACGACAATAAAATTGTTCCAGTTGGAGAGTCATTCGAGGCAGCCATAAAGTCCTGCCCGTATATTATCCACTTGGATGGGCGAATGTGCAATTTCTCGAAAGAATCGGAGTACTCGATCAATGAGAACGCGTACAGGTGAGACTCGGGCGTTGATCATCGGGTAAAATAACGTTCCACTCGATAGAACTCATTGAATTCTCGAGCATCACTCGATTCTCGAGTTTGGACTGCCTACCTTTATTTCGGTCGCGATTTCCGTTTCCATGCACGTATATGCGACGGGTGCGAGATAATATAATAAATTTAAACTCAAAAGAGAGAGAGAGAAAGAGGTCGAAAGATAAAAAAAATCATAAATGTCATAAGCTATACTGCTCTAACATAAATTCATATTACCGCCGATTTATAAAACAAATGTGTCAACGTGGCCGTTTGTCTGCCTATATTAAAATGCCTGTTTTGGAAATTATGTTGGTATATGATATAGAGTTTAAGCGCAGAATACTTTAGATAAAATTATCTTTTCTTGATTGTGAGCGCTTTGTCGTGGGAGAATGTATGTATTATAACTATCAGAAAATTTAGGAATTTCATAGTTCTTTCAGTTTGTAAGTATGGTAAACATATATTTTTAAGAAAAAGAAATGAAACAAACATATTTATAATACATAAAATGCAAATTTTTATACCCATCATAGAAAAAAAATTCTCTTTTGAAAAACATTTTAATCTTTTTTATATTGTTCAGTATGAACTTTCATATTTTATGTAACATTGTACTTTAATATACAGAGTGTCTAACTCGCGTCATACCAAAGCTAATATACAGCTAGAATAAATCAGGGTATATAATGGAATCTTTTTTAATCAACCATGTAAAATTTCGAGTTATTAAATAAAATAGATAGGCTAATTGTTGACGCTAAAAATTGTGTAAAGTTTTTTATAAAGAAAAGCACATTTTATTTTTAAAATTTTTTATCGACATCATCTTAAAGCACAATGTAACATTATACAGGGTGTCTGACTCATACCATACCAGAGCTAATATATAGCTAAAATAGAGTGAGTAATGGAATCGGTGTCATTGCTCACGGGTCTATCTCATAGGCCCAGAGATGGGGACTACGTCTTAGATCTGACATTGCGCGCGAGCAATCGCCCATTTTCTTTGCCGGCCGCGACAAACCGCCTGCAAAGTATATCCCGCCTGCCGCGTCGCGTGCTGTGATTAGCCCATTTATTTTATTTAAAAACTCGAAATATTACGTGGTTGTTTAAAAAATAACACCGATTCCATTACTCATCCTATTTTAGCTATATATTAGCTCTGGTATGGTATGAGTCAGACGTCCTGTATAACGTTACATTGTGCTTTAAGATGATATCAATAAAAAATTTTAAAAATAAAATGTGATTTTCTTCATAAAAACTTTACACAATTTTGAGCGTCAACGATTCTGCTTTGCACACAATCGTCATATTGATTTCTGAAACGACAAAATCATTGTGTCATGGTTGAGACTAAGAGTATAGCTCTATCTAAGATAGATCGACAGTAATATATCGATGGAATCAATATAAAATATAAAAAATTTGGAGAAGCATCCCAAAATAAATGTACATAATTATTAGTAAAAGTACACCGGGCCTTACAGGATTAAATTACCAGCCCAATATAATTTCCAAAAGATTGGATGTAAGCGGGAAAACGGTTTTGTTGACACTCTTCCTTTTCGTCGTGACATTTTGACTTTATTGGCAATTCCGTGTCGATTTTGTCGTGCATGATCGTAACACACCTATCTACGCTCTAGTCTTTACGATTTATTAAGACACGTAAAGGGAGCCCGTTACTACCACTGAGAGAAGTTGTGATTCGTACACGTGTTCGTAGTATAAATTCCAAATAGTCGAAGTTTGCGATGGATTAAACTCCATACGCCGTCTACTTGGATTATCCCGTGCGACAGTAATTAATTATTCGTCCGTTATTATCCATTCCGTGTCTCTCTTGTTAACAATCCGACTTTGCGCACGAGAGCACGTTCGCCAATGTTCCGCCTCCCAACCCCTATTCTGCGCAAGAGGACAGACCGTGAGAGAGACGGGCGTTGTTAATTCCCCCGATATTCCGATTCCCTCTTCAAGCCAGCGGAGTCGCGAGATCGCCGTCAGGTGTTGGATCGTTCGCAGGCTGTGTTTGCAAACGTCATTATGCCCGAAAAGGCAACACGATCGCTGTCGAAATGGAATAGGTCGTCAACTTCTCGGGTGTTGTAAGCAGCTCGATGAGGGCGATGAATCTTATCGTGCCTGGCAACGTGCCAGTCGGTCGACGAGAGATAACCTTTTTTTCTTCTTTACGGAACAATGTCCCGTCATTTTGCCTCCTTTTCTTTCTCTCCCCCTTTTTGGTTCTATCTCCAAGTGGCGTCGTCAATGTTTGCGAGCACAATCGATTGTTACGTATCGTACCGATCAAAAAACTACAATTGGGAAAAAACATTCTTTTATTTCCCTCTTTTTTTGTGAATCGTTAAATTCGCGTGCGTATTAGTCTCGTTTCGAATCGCTAATTCAGCCATTCAATTTATCTGTTTTTCCTTTCTCTCCTTTCCTTTTTAAAAATACACGGTTCTCTCTCTCTCTATCTCTCACTCACTCACTCACCCACTTATTCACTCACTCTCTCTCCTCCCTCTCTCTCCCTCCCTCTTTCTTCCCCCATCCTTCTCTCCTCGTCTCTCTTTTTTACTCCATCTCTTGTTACACCGATCTCCCGTCGATCGTATTTTCCGTGTACCTTTGACCTATTGACGCCATTAGCCGCATGCCGCGTATAGCCACTGTATCGAGGACCCTCGCTCGTGAATGCGCGTCTTAGTGTCCTGAGGGTCGGTCGCACACGCGAGATGCATAACCCTACGTGTTCGATAACAATCTGCAGTTTACGATGGTTAGAAGTGAAGGTGCACTTCGTGACGGGAACTCAAAGTCGGAAGCAAGCCCGAGCTGTCAAATCAATCTCTGTATAGTAACGACACACACGTTTATGTTATTCTCTGAATTTCTTGGAATAATCTTATTCAAAATAAGTGAAAATTTACTCGAGACGATAGTGAAAATATTGTAATTCAGAAGAATCAATGTTAGAATGTAACTCAAGCCTAGACTAGATCCTAATTTCGTGCGAGTAAATGTTTTAATGTTTTAGAATAAATTTATTTTTGATAAAAGTACCTCATATTCATCCTATAATTTCGATTGAAAATTGTTTACCTCATCAAATCAAAATGGATAAAATATTCTATGAGTGAAAATATACCCGAATTCGAGAAAAATTTCACTCTATTACTAAAAAAGTGATTACTCAGTTTATTTTCCTTATTTCAAGTAGGGCAATCTAGTTAATCCAAGGGATATGTTGGTTATACACTTTGTTTTTAACCATACGCGTCGGTTATACTCTCTAAAGTAACTGACATGTTATACCTATAACTAATGGTTCAGTTGTAAATATAGCACCGCAATCGGTAAAATTTCACTGAAAGGATCAGTTAATAGCTAGGGGTAAACCGCTGATAGCATTGCGGTGTACAGATTCAAGGCATTGCTAGGCATTACTTGGATATTAGTGGCCATTAATGGGTATTATTAGGTCTTGCTGGGGTATTAATGCATATTATAATAAGCATTGTTAAATCATTGGGCACTATTACGTTTTATTTTTAAAGTGGCAATTGTTTTGTGACAAACATTATGTTTACAACACGTAATAAAGTGTGAATGTTAAGTAAATTATATATATTGTGCTCTCACGATGTTTTCCATGGGGCATTACGGTCAATCAACGCTACTATCGTTCAACGCTGCTAACGGTTGGCGCTGCGATCAGCCAACGCTCGTCATTGGATACGGTCCAACAGGCGCTGCAAATGCTTTGTAACGTTTTTACTTCTTTCTCTTTCTTCATTCGAATCCGAGGAATAGAACAAGAGGGAGAAACGCTGCGCAGCGTTTGTAGCGGTTGTTAGATCGCACCCAATATCCTACGATTGCACGATCTCACATCGGAATACATCGGAAGTATGCAATATTCCTATAACACGCATATTAAAAAGGAGAACAGGGTAAAGGTACCAAAAAGATAACTAGGAGGAATGGTTCAGCAGTGATTATATCCGACAACCATTTCGAAAATCTTCGGAACACTACGTTCTCCTCTCGTTCCTAACCTCCCTCGTTTTCGTCGTCGAATTTTAACAATATACTATAAAAGACAATTTCATAGAGCGGTAACGCGGCGCGTTCATCGTCGCCTCGCCGCGTGCCTGCAGCGTCAAAGCATCAAGACGTCATCGCGGCAGTCAGCGCGAGCCGCGTTATCGCTCAGCCTCGACGCACACAGCTCGCCGCGAAGCGTCTATAGGCCACGATGGGTGTGACAAACGCCAAACTTTACGCAGTTGTTACTAACAAATTAGACGCGTTATTGCTAAATGGAAGAGGACTTTTTTGATCATTTCGCTTAGCTCTACGTCCCTATGGAGTTGATGTGTTACAATTTTGAGACACCCTGTATATGAAGTTGTAGAAAAATAACAAAAATTATCTAAGAAGCTTTGAAAAATGCCATTAAAAGTACCAAAAAATTAGGTACAAAAATTAAAAGTGATGCAGATTGGAAATTTGTTGATATCAAATATCATAATGATAATATCAATATGATAATTTGCAAATTGTAGATTATAAATTCGATGATATAGAACGTGAAATCGATAACGATTGCTGTATAAACGTTAGAAGCACAAATGTCGAGGATGTTTGTGAACAACTCAATTTTATTTGATAATCTTGACGATTTCAAATTAGAGAGTCTAGAATTAAAAGACTTTTCAAAACAAGTATCACAAAAATTAATATCGGAAAACTCGCCATTCATAGCAATTAAAGTAAATGACAAGTTATGATTATTAAAAAATCTTCTTATTGTTGGTTTCTTGATGAATGTAAAGGTAAAGTCAGTATGGATCGATTACGAAGATTTATCACAAGTAACAAAACAAAATAACGAAAAGCTGTATAAAAATACAACCTGAGAAAAAACAAAAATATTTTCAAATTTCTAGTTT